TTTTTTACCAAAAATGACAAAAATATTCACCAAAATTAGAGAATTGAAGATATCAACATGAAATGAACAAACCTAAGAGAGGTCTACCCAAGGTACATATACACCACGTATCAAAGCATTCAGGCTTGTAGTTTTCAAGAAGAAGTCGAAAAAGTAAAACATTGACACGGACGACGACGTAAGGAAAACTAAGTACGAGTAAGGAAAACTAAGACAGAGTAAACACAACACAGACAATTGGGTTATCTTTTGCATCCACAGAAAAAACAAAACAAAAAACAGGCCATTAATTTTTTAAAGCGCATTGTGCGATGAGTTTGCTCTCTGTATGCCGGATAGTCAATACGAAAAACCATAAGTTCTGAGATTTTTCGCACGAAAATTCTTTTTCATAACCTAAATTATAGATCATATTGATCAAAATAAAAGCCCCAGACTCTGCATGAGATTTAATATTTAAAATTATGAAATTGTTAACTAACCAAAACAAATAACTGGAACCAAAACATAGCAAGGGGGGTGCTGTTGTGGCATTCTCAACTCATACAGCTTGAATACGGCCATCATAGCGAACCAAAAAATACAAATTAAGCAACCAAATTGCACAGCAAATTTAGAAATAACACCATTATTGTTAATTTAGAGTTAATTTATTAGTAACGGTGATTGGGACACTGCATTCATCAGGTTAGGTGTAAATGCACTCAAAAAGATTAATAATGTGCTATGATGTGACACATATATACTTACAGATATAGGTACCCCCGCGGCTGGCTTTGGAGTGTAGTTTATAGTACTCTCCCCTCGGCCTAAACACACAATACATACAGTGACAGAGAACACAGAGGAGACAGAAACATGAAAGAAATTAAAGTTAGTTACTTGTGTGATGATAATAAGTGAAAAGGTGCAATAACTAGGTTACGAGGTACAAGAACTGCCCTATGTAGGTACATAAGGGAAAGTAAGATGGCCGCAGGGGGATACTGCAGCTGGTGCACATACTGGAGGGTTGAAAACATACAGTGTTGTAAACCTAACGAGGACATGCACTTAAAATTAATTATTGCATAATAAGTAATAACCCAGATCAAGCAGAAAATGCATATAAGGGCGGAAGTCGTCATGCCGCGTCCTATTCGATAGGGAGCTCATAGCGACGTATACAACGCGTGTAAAATGCATTGTTTATTCACATGAAATTCAAACACGCGCTGCGCGACGACCACCACGCTTAAACTATTTTTCACTAATAACAACATGCATAGTATTCACTCTACGGTTTGTAGGAAACATGTAGTAGTACATATATTACTGTATCAAGTAGCCTTGAAATGCAATGTGTATTACAGTAAATGTAACATACTATAGTGTAATATTCAATGTGGAACATTGTAATGAGATACATGTATGTTGTAGTGTAAGGAATTTGCAGTATAATGTAATATTGTATTCTAATTAGCATAGTGTAAACACTATGTATTGTGTACTGCAGTATAATGTAATATTGTATTCTAATGTAGCATAGTGTAAACACTATGTATTGTGTACTGCAGTATAATGTAATATTGTATTCTAATTAGCATAGTGTAAACACTATGTATTGTGTACTGCAGTATAATGTAATATTGTATTCTAATGTAGCATAGTGTAAACACTATGTATTGTGTACTGCAGTATAATGTAATATTGTATTCTAATTAGCATAGTGTAAACACTATGTATTGTGTACTGCAGTATAATGTAATATAATGTAACATACTGTAGTGTAATACTTAATGTATCACAATGTTATGTAGCATTACAAGATTATATAATGTATCACTACAATATTGTTATGTGGCATTACAACATCATGTCATATATATATACCATTACACATTTTTGTCATGTAGCATTACAACATTGTTATGGATTATTACAGCATTGTCACATAGCATTATAACAGTATGTCATGTATCAGTGCCACATTTTACAAATACAACATTATGGCATGTAGCATTACAATATGCCATGTATCAGAACTTCATGTCATGTTGCATTACATCATTATGTTATGTAGCATTACATTATGTTATGTAGAATTACAACATGTCATGTTGCATTACATCATTATGTCATGTAGCATTACAACATTATGTTATGTAGAATTACAACATGTTATGTTGCATTGCAACATTTTGTCATGTAGCATTACAACATGTAATGTTGCATTACATCATTATGTTATGTACCATTAGAACACTTTCTCATGTAGCATCACAACTTTTTGTCATGTACCAATACAACATTTTGTTAGTATCAGTTATTCGGTATTGGAGTTTAGATGACTAAAACATGGAACACATCCACCATGCAAGACCCCATGAAACAAGAGCATGCTGTGACCTTGCAAATTATAATAGTGGATAAAATGTATGGTTATTTATTGCGATTTGTATTTGCAAATGAAACATTTACCTTTCCTCTGTTGTATGTATGACAGAATGAAAATGAACAAGAATCTTAGTTAGTCACTGGCAATGATTCATGCAACACCATTTTAGAAGCTGTGTTATATTATTTTTAGTAGTTACTTATGTCATCTGACTTCAGCTAACAGTGATACCCATGTATCAGATTTTTTTTTCTCACTATTGAAGCCATCAGACACAAGTGACTATACCAGTTTTTGTATTGATCTGGACTGTGGACGAGATAGATGTAATTGTGGCAGTAATTATTTTATTCATGCAAGAGTGTTTTTCTGCATGCAAACAATTATACTCAAGTTTTGTGTTTCTTCTTTTTGTTCACAAGTTTCATGGCAGTTCCTGCAAATTTGTTGTTAACGACTTAATAGTATTTCCAAAATTCAACACACTCAAGTTTTACAAATTTAATTTTGGTTGTAAAATTGAAAAAAAAAAAAAATAGTTGATTTTACATCCCATGAATAATACTGTTAATGCATTATTTATTGAATATTAATTTTAAATATTTTTACTGATAAGAGAAATATGCTAAAAATTTAATCCATGTGAATAAGTAAAATAGAACTTGATTGATAATTAAAACCAGTTTAGTGAAAATATCTCATATGTTAGTGCCACCAAGCTGAACATGTACAGTTAAATGTATGACTACGCCAACAATGTGTCACAAGTGATCACAACAGAGATGTATGCAGCAAATTTAACACATACTGCATGCATCAAACACACAAAGTATCATACTGACTAACTAGCAATACTAACCATTGGTTGTCATGGGAACTATACCAGGATTTTGTTCAGCTTGCAAACTCATATCGCACATAAAACATAAACCAGATCTGACTAACAATTCCTCCTGCTTCTGACATCTAGGACAGCATCTGATTCCTGTTGAGTTCAATAGAACACAAGATGCTTGTTATAAACAACGGATCATCGACTAACCAATTTCTCTTTCACCAGTGGTACATTATTATTGGTTTTTATAAGTCTGTGCTTTCATCCACATTCACTATAGCTACATGTATGCCTGAACAAAAAGATGCCACTAAAAATAAGTAAATTTTATCAAAATAAGGGGTTAATGATGAACATTTGTACTGAAATGAGAATCTTATTCACTAACACATGCGAATGTTTTTAAAGTATTAAATGGAGTGTCAATGTTAACATATTTTCTGATGAAATAGTTACTAGTATACAAATCATACCGATTATTCTAGAATAAACTCAACAGTTAAAAAAAAGACCATCTCTGCGTAGCATAAATATTAATAAGGCATACAGACATTAATCTACAGCAAAGGCATGTAGCAAATTAGACTTACCTGGTGTCTCATTTATGTCTCTTCCACCCGCACCCCTATTTGTCGGAACCATGTCACGTTTGACCGTTTCCTTCAAAAACCACTGCTGCAATGCTGATTGCGAATTGTTCTGTGACGACTGTTGGTATTCCTCAGACGGGACCATTGGCATTGCATAATACGCACTTTGCTGCGTCTCCCTCTCAATCAATTCCTGCTTCTCCTTATGTTTCTGCGTTTGCATGGCAACCATTTGTTTATGCTTCTCAAGGATGATCAGCTTTTGACGCTGTACATCAATCAATCGTTCCTGCTCAGTTCGAACACGCGGCTGTACCGGCCTTTGTACAGACGTCACATTCGGAGTGGATCGGCTTAATTTTGATGAGTGCGTAAGATCACCATATCCATGCGGGTTCTTATTGTGATCTAACCCAGTATGGACATAATTATCCACAATTTTTGATTCATTTTTGTTTTCCAACCATCTCAGTTCCCTTCCATCATTTTCATATGCTCAGCATGCTTGGCTTCTTCCTGTCTGATCGAATAGCTGCCTACCTGACTGTTACAATGATTCATCCTGCTTGCATAGTGATTAGGCAGAATATTGGGTACAACAACCCTTGGTTGGCCTTCCAACTTTTCATTGTATCTCAAGTTATCCTGACTTTTTTGAGTCCTTGTATTATGGTTTACTTGTCCATAGTTATTCACATCTGGATGTTGGCGGACTGTAGCAGTGTAACCATCAGTAGTATCCCTAGTCCTCTGAGTATTTTGAACATCAGAACTAAGTGTTCCCCTAGCACAGTTAAGATTTTGATTGTGAACAGGTGGAATGTAATGGGACGTAGCTACGCTGTACTGTGCTGGCGCTGTTCCATTCTGTTTGGGTACAGAATGTGATGCGACACTCTGTGAATACAAGCTGGAAAGCTGTTTTTGTAGCTCTTCATTTTTCCTATCACCATCGTCTTTCAAGTCTATTAAGTTTGACTGCTTGCCACTCACTGTCAGTGAAGATACCATAGTACTGAGAACATACAAGACAAAACATGATACAAAAATGTAGTAAACAAATCTGAAAACAGAATGAGGGAATTAAACATCTAGTTCAAGTGCAATGAATTCAAGAATGGCTTATTCAAATATGGTAAAACTACATGTC